TTTTGGGGGGGGGGGAGATCTGGGGTCCTGAGGACGAGATCCCCTGCTACGTCTGCCTTTACAGATCGTGTCTTTGAGAGGCAATAAATATCGTTATATAAGCATTATTGCAAGGTACTGATCCATAGCATTGGTGCTGAGTAGTATCAGTCAGTACGACATCTTTGTGAAGATTCATTGAAAATTCATGTAGCAAACTTCCATAGCGGACGTCGCTCATTGACCCGATGTGTATACGAGAGGACGAGAGGTGCGTCTTTGTGATATCTCTCTCTTACACATAGAGTTAATAGAAAATTGTGAAGGGCGCGATCTTAATTATGTTCACAGCTACGCAGCCTTAGGAAAAGTAAAGGCAAAGAATTATATGTACGCATCCCTGCGAGGACGAGAAAAACCAGGCAATATTGATCTTCCACACTTGGAACCTTTTGACAACCTCCCACCTCCGCAGGAAATAGACGTCCAGCCGTAAGTCCCATTTCGATCTCGACGAAGACGTCAGTGACGAGTTATGATTGGAGTTAGATTGGTCATAGCGTGAGCAACATGAACGGGTTCGTAATTGGGTCAGCTGCTATAACCCCCCCCCCCCCCCCCNTCTTTCTTGTCCACTAATTGAGTACTTACGCTTGGCACAGCAAGTACGCGCGTGTGGCGATCTTTCATGCAGCTCCAATTAATGCTCTATCAATGACAGATACACAATCCTGCGCAGACATTCGTCCGTTGACTCCTTTCCGTTGTGTATCTGTCGCGGACCAGTAGTCAGATCAGATATTTCAGCAAACACCAAGACAAATATAATAATTTAGATAGGTTTTTTTTACGTTTATTGTGAAGAGCTATCTAGTTATCACTATTTTGAGAGTAAGAATTCATCAAACCTACCAGCTTTTCCTATATTTTACTCTACGAAAACTCCCTGTTCATTTTAATTGCCAAAATGTAAACAAATCTGTATTGTAGGACTTGCTGTAAAGTTTGAGACTATTGCTCATTTAAGGACCAGAGGAAATTTATTTACGGGGTGATTATTGGATGTGTCAGCAATTCCCTGACTTTCCCGGTTTCCCAGACCGTCAGCAACCCTGTAGATTGAATTCCTACGACTTAAAGTTCGAAGACAATAGTTAATATGTTTGCTGTTAGAGTTTTGTGTTGGTTTTCGTCATTTAGGTTAGGAACTTTGGCATGCACACAGAAAAAGAGCAGCTGGCGCCCTCTGCGGTGAGAAAATTAGGGCACGGCCTCTAGAAAGGGTTTCCTATTGAGACCTCAAAATGGCCAATTTTGACGGCTCCCCCCCCCCCCCCTGCTGGTTTAATGGCTTCGTGTCTAGCACCTTCAGCCAACTTTAGACAATGTTTAGTGTCCGTAGACATCGTGGGATCTCCATGCTCCAGGCGTTTCTAATTTTCAGGGATTAGGACCGAGGAGAATCTGTTTCAGTAGATCGACTCGTCAATTCCGTGAAAATTAGACGCCACCACCGGGATTCGAACCCGGGACCTATTGACCTGGAGTCAGACGCGCTGACCACTAGGCCAACCTAGCCGGCAATTTTGACGTTTATCCGTAAAGAGAGGAGACGAAACTGGGTGAAGTGAACTTACTTGAGCTTGGTGGCAGAGCCGCTGGGATCGAGGGACTCGGAGCGGAGGATTTTGACGCCGAGGACGATGAGGGCGAAGATGAAGAGGGCGCCGAAGATGGGGATGACGATGGTGGCCGCCCGGAACCAGATCTCGTTCGTCGTGTAGTAGCTGATCGGCCGGTGCGTCGAGATCCGGGGATCCACGCCCCCGCCTCCCACTCCGGCTCCGACCCCGTACCCTGCACCGGGGTTCAGCACTCCGGCTCCCATCACCAGCTTCTCCAGCGGGTCTCGAACCACGGCTCCTCCTGAAACACACAGACACAACATCGTTAGAGCCTACCATACACTCATGGTTTCCACATACTAATGGACCACTAGACAAGGTACGAGTTTAAGCAATCTGATACATGTTTTCTAACCAGAATCTTACGTAAAACACGATTCGCAGAACGAAAATTACTGAGCCCAACTCCTAACTACGATATTAACGTTTTTATTTCGCATTGGTTACAAGGAATTTGAACTGCCCGCTCACAAGAAACTCAAAGCTCTACGTGAGTCAAATCGCGCACTAAAACGGTTTCAGCGATCTTCTCAATTGAGCAATGTTCATTTCCCACCATATGTTGTTCAAACTATAAGCAATTCGCTATAGCTGAGCCAAAGCGTCAAGATTGAGGTTGCCAGATTTTTAAATCGCAGAGACTGTCATGATAACGTTTAGCGGGTTATGTGAATCACGCAGACCATTAAGTTTTCATAAGCGGGTGGTTTGAATTCACGCATCAGGAATCATTAAATATCTTCGTTTTTTTTTTTTTTTTTTTTTTTTTTTTTTTTTTTTATTCTTCAAATACATGTTACAACCACCTACTAGGTGTAAATTAACTTTTCTTTACAAATAAAGTAACTTAGAAATTGACTAACGTCTAATTTTTGTTTTTAAAATATCTTCGTAAGGAGATAATTTCGGTAATTTTTGTTGTACGCATCGTATTTTACGTGAAATTTTAGTTACAAAACATGTATCAGAATGCTGAAATTCGTAACTTGTCTAGTTGTCCATTCCAAGACACTGCCACAGCCAAGGCGGCAGGCGTGGACATGGACATCAATGGCCCGGTGGGCTCATTTTTAAAATCAATGGACAGGGCGATGGACAAAGAGGGCAAAGGGAAAATAGAGCGATCGTATTGGTGGAAGTGAGTGCGGTTGCAATGGAAACAAAAGGTGAGTAAAATACTAATTAACGACAGAGGGATAGTTACCTGGCCCATAATTTTCCACCTGGTCTACCACCTATAGATTGCCCCATTTTCTCTTAGTTCTCTTCGTCTATAGCTTTGTCTATCAATTTCAAGAATTAGCCCGCGGTGTCCATACTTTCTCTAAAAGAAGAGCGAAAGCATAGTAAGAGTGAAATCGCTTAGCTTAACACGTCTAACACTTTGGTGGCACGTTGTTCGTTTATATTGGGCCCTAGGAGCTTGAATGAAAGACTTGAAACTCGTAGACGGATCAAAAAGCAGCAACATTTTTCTGACCTTGGAGGACTGAGTTAACAATAGTCTTTCTCTGAGCTGATTGTTGAAATTGATAGATAAAGCGATAGACGAAGAAGGCATAGGGCTAGCCGAACGATCCTATTGGTTGAAGTAGAGTAAGGGGGAAAATGATGACTGATTGGAGGGCGCGGGTCATCATTAGTTAGCCTGTTACTTTCCTCCATTACAACCATCAGCTTCCATCCATTAGTTCGCTCCACTTTCATTTTTTTCCCCTTGTCTATCTCTGTATCCATCAATTTCGACAATGAGCCGTATAAGTAGGTACGGCCGATTTTTGTTTGATTGACAAAGCTATCGACAAAGCAGACGAGAGATGTGGAGAGATCGTATCAGTGGAAGTGGATGGTTGCTATGGACAAAGGAGGTAGGTAATAGACTAACTAACGGCAACGCATGAGAGCCCCTATAGTTAGTGGATTATTTGCTCCCTTAGTCTATACACGAAGAAAAAAACCTCGTGCGTGGGACCCGAAGTTTAGGTCATGGAGTTTAGTTATGGAGCATCTCAACACTTTAGGTCTAGCTGTCGAGGTTCGGATCACACATCTGAAACTTCAGTTCTTACATCTGAAGTACTTCAGATGTGAGAACCGAAGTTTTTCGGATGTGAAACCCGAAGTACTTCAGATGTAAGAACTGAAGTTTCAGATGTGTGATCCAAACCTCAGCAGCTGGACCTTAAGTGTTCGGATTCTCAATCCGAAAACTTCAGAGATCCGTATGACCTAAACTTCAGGTCCCACACACAAAGTTTTTTCTCCGTGTAGGAACCACCAATTTCAACTGAGAGGATAGCTCCATACTCCCTACGTCTTCTTTGACTAAAGCTTTGTCTACTTCAATTTCAATAATCAGGCCGCTGAGGGCAAACCATCCACACTCTCCCCGAATCCCCTTTCAGCTGATTGGCGGAGGCCGAGACGGCGGGATTCCGACATCGGCGCGGCGGAACGAATGCCGGAAATTTAATTTAGCAGCGGAGCAAAGAATGCTCGGAAAAGAGTATGAGTATGCGCAACATGTTAAATGCCGAAGGAGGCGCACGGCCGCGGCCAGGCGGTGGGCGGGGGCGCGGGCGGGGTGAGATGGAAGGGCACCTGAACATGGAAAGGCATCGGGCTCATCGGGAGGGGCCCGGGGGGTGGGTGGGGGGGAGAAGCAGGGGAGGGAGAATGCACAAACAATGCACCAAGAATCTAAACAAAGCGCCACGTCCACGGGATAAACATGGGATGAGCTTCCAGCGAGCTTAAGTACACAACCAGGGGATCCGAGAAAATCCCGCCCGCCGCCCGGCTCACCCGACTCCCCGCACTCCCGCAGTGATGCCGCCATTGGCCTCCTTCGCGGATGACGTCATCCACTTTCATGCAACCTCGCGGAAAATGCGGGAACGCGGGATCCTGGATGAGGGCTCATTTCGTCGTTTCTCCCACGAAAGAACGTAACTAAATTCCAATGTAGCCAAATTTTCCCTCACAAATCGCTTTTTCTACCAGGAGAACCTCAGGCATTTCTATCTGAAAATTTCACCGATTTTTCTACCGATCTCATAAAAAAATAGACACGTCTTGAACTAAAAACGCACAGATGCACTCCTGTAAAAAATTGAATTCTTTGAATCAATTTTGCATCTTCGGAATGGAGTTGCGTTCCTACGTCCGGAAAACGACGATTTAAGGAAAGACATCCTTGTAAGAGGAAAGCCTAATCTTTTGTATTCTAGAAAGGAGAAGAAGGAAAGCGATCATGACTCGGTGATCTTGAGGAATACTTCGGTGATCGCAATTGTGCAGAAGAATTCGCCTGGCTTAGTCTCTCAGGGTGATGCAGAATCAAGGGAAGGTAATTCCCTCCGACTTTGCCAGGTTTTCCCTGACCGCGGTGATCAAAATTCCTGGATATTTCTAGACACTAAAAACTTGAATTGAATGCAAAAAATTATTCCATTCAAAAAATGTTTTGTTAAGTCGAATAAAGTTTCTTCTTCCCTGATCTCTCAAAACGCAATTTTAAAACACAAGGTCTGGCACCTTGTAGCCAAGAGTTGCTTTTGAGCTATAAAATCTAATGCAATACTACGCATTATGTGGAAAATTAAGTGCACCGAGGACAATTTTCATCATTGAAACAAGGTTGTTGAAAATTTTCTTCCAGTTGATTTTTCGCCATATTGTCACAGCTTTTGAATATTGAGTAAGAATCCCTTGAAGTTGAACATTCTTCGTCTCGAAGCGATGAGCTTGATTGTTCGATGATGGCATCGGTGGCGAAGCGTAAATCATCGGCTATCGCTATTATCCTATTTGTGGCTGTGGTAAAGAATCGATTGTTCGGGTGTTCGTTGCGGATACCTTAACAATCGATCCTTTCTCTAAGGTTTAAATGGCGTATTAATCGATTCATCGCAATGCGCACCACACCACTGATTCGGCAGCGCGGCGGCGGGCGGGTTCTTCCCGTGTCCGCCTGTCGGAAGGGTGGGAGGGGGGGGGGGGGGGGGTGTATCGCATCCACATGTGCCTTTCAATAAACAAGCCTCGAGACTTAAAAACTTGTTTACCCAGTAAAATAAACCGACTGGATGATGTTCGTCCATTTATTTATTACATCAATTAATATCCTTTTTCCATCGGATCCGAACCCAGTGCGGGGTTCCCAACGCGACCATTTCGACTTCCAGCCGCGGTTGTCCGATATGTACGGAAATCCATTCGTGCTACGCTCGACGCGAGGTTGCTAGATTCTGCGACCAAACGCGGATATTTAACATGGATTTGAATGGGAAAAGGCTGATTTTCAGCCCTAGCTGGCAACAATGGCTCGAAGATAGTACCTCCGATCGGGCAGCCCCGGGAGTATCATCCGTCGTATTTTGGACTACGTTCCGCGAAGAGGAACTATAGTTTGTAGCTCGATGCAAAAACAACGTAAAAGCTATCGGTTTCCCTCCGTAGTTGAGTGTTTTTACGGACAAGATAGAAATCTCAGCTCTTTGATGCGTAAAGCGGTCCATTTATGCTCTTGACATACGATCAAATTACGAGGGGGGTTACCGGAAGCCCCAAAATCGCATCACTAGGGTCTTTTGGACTCATGATAAAAAATTTAAAATACAACATACATGCAGATTGCAGAACCTTCGCCTAAATTTGTGTTGCGATGAACCAGAAAACATAGAGAGGTTGAATTTGTACTATAGGACTGCCTTGCCGCAACGGCCCACTGTGGATCGAGTCAATTGGAGAGGTCAAACATGAAATCTTTTTCTATAACTGAAAATTTTGATTCTCATTTCGTCATATTTTAAATTTCAATGGTTGCTTCCAGCAGAGAACTTCACGAGGAAAGCAACAGACCCACTTCACGAACCTCAAAATTTTGTATAAACGGAGTTATGAGCTTTAAAAGTTTAACCTTTAAAGCCGACCTTTCCTACCGACTCGACCCACTGTGTGGCCCCCAGAGGGTGCTCCTGCTCCACGCCATTCAAGGGCCGAGTGAAGGGTTGAAATTCGGTTGGGGTGCGGGCTCTGGTAATTAAACTGGAGGACAAGCGAGTAGAATTCTTTCGAGGGACCGAAGGGAGAAGGGATGCGTGTGAAAAAGGAGCGGGGGGGCGGAGAGGGGGGAGGGGGGCTCGGGAGACATGGCTCTTCGGCGTGTCCTTTAATCGTCCTGACTCGGGCTCGGGTCTAAGTGAATAGCTGGGACTCATTACATTTGCATGGACACGG